TGATAGAAGAGGCGTGGACTAAGAAACAAGATGGAGTTGCATTCTGTATGAGTAATAACACTTACAAAGTGAATTTTAAGTCCATGACTGTTGTGTCGAGCGACATGAAATACCAACCACTCCGGCTGAGTCGGAAGTTATTTACAGAAACCGGTATGCTCTCTTCCTTACCCCTTTAACACTCAAGATCTGATTATTAATTCTCCCCTCTAGCTGCAACACATTTCCTTGTAAATTAGATTCAAGAATTTGGCTTTAGATCAATATTGCAAACTCTTCCTGATAAGTTTGATAATTTTCATCACCCGTTTGCTGGATAATGTATGGATATTATAGGGAGAAGTTACATTTTAATCACTCACGGAAGTTAAAGGGTTTAGCTGCTTTATATTGTGGGTGCTAGGTAGTCTTGCGCAATCATTGTTTGTTCTCGTCACGAAACGCATTTTGATAGCTTCTTATCGGCGCCATTTTGCCTTTTGTTATCATATAAAGCAAATAGTTCCCATTTTGCCGTAGGTCTGTACAGTAACGGGACTCAGGAGAGGTCAAAAGGCTATAAGGACATCAGTGACACACTCGGCTACGCCTTGTGCGCCGCTTCGTTGTTCTTATCACATTTTGATGTCATCTGTGATCTATTATTGAAAACACGCACGGCAACATGGAATGTATTTGTAAACTATAAGAGATACTACTTTTTCAGGTGTTGTCACTCCAGATTCTTGGTCAACGCAACCTTTCTTCGCAGACGGAAAACCATTTCCAGTTGCCATGTTTACCGTTGCCCCTTCCGCAGACATGGAGTACCAAAGCGTTGCCAACACGTTTTATAGCACTGGTGGCCCGGGTACGATAGTCAGCATCGAGCGTGTTCAGAATCCATGTCTTTACACGCAGTACATCGCTTATAAGCAGGAGGTTGAGCGGACAAACAGTCGATTCGATCGATACGTAAGGAACGAGTTACAACTGTTTCACGGGACGAAAGGTTCGAATGTTAACTCCATTAACAGGCAAGGATTCAACAGAACCTTTTCTGGAACGATGCACGGTTAGTTTGATGATTGTATGTCATTTATTTTCTTTAAGGGCACCAGATTTTGATCTTGACTGAGTTCCATAATTTCTCAGAGAGGACCCATATTCATATTCGAGCTAAAGACTGCAAGAATTTCCGAAGAGCTCCGACACCACCTCCTTCCCAAGACCCCCCTTCTCAAACCGGACGTTTTCGGAAACAAAACCATCAATCACATGGGCATTTCTTCTTCTGTATTCCTTAGACTTTATCTCAAATTATTCTTGCTAGGCGTGAGAAAGTGGTAAGCAGACTTGAAAAAGCGTTAGTTTGGAGATTTTAATCCATTGTGGTCAGATTTAGCCGGTTTTAAATTTCAATTCTGTTTGTTTTGTTTCAGGAGCGGCCTTTGGCAATGGGGTGTACTTCGCATCTAGAGCGTCCTATTCTAAGGGCTACACGGCCCCGGATAAAAATGGACTGAGACACATGTATCTGGCTCGAGTCGTTGTGGGTTTTTACACCTTAGGACAGAGAGGGCTACTTGTTCCTCCCGCGATATCCAGTCATGAACCAGAAGTTCTTTTTGATTCTGTAGTGGACAACACGGAAAATCCATCCGTTTTCGTTGTATTTCGAGACGCGCAATGCTATCCGGAATATCTCATCACTTTTAAGACTTGAGTCAACCATCACTTTCTTTCATACTTCTCATTATTGCGTGACTAGACACGGCTGTTGCGTGACTTCATTCTTTTCAATCCAGTCGTAACGCAATCTTCTACAAACGTTGAAACAAGCGCAGTTGTGTTGTTTCGTGTTGTTGTTGCCCTCCTAAAATACTATGATAATGCAAAGTTCAGAATTAACAATCCTCATGGATTTTTTTTTTCCTGTTTGGAGAAATGCTGTTGTTAAATAATCTCCTTGTTACAACAACTTCATGTTTAAAAGTAATCAAAATATTAGGTATTATCTTTAAACAATTGCAAAACACTGGGTATAGGAAAAAGAGAATTGGGAGTTATAAAATAAAAACAAAAGTTAAAAAAATCCCTTTGTATTCTTTTAGCTACAATTTAACTAATATCATAACCTAATAATACAAAACTATTCACCACTTTCACTGATAATGAGGTGATTAATTTTTGGTATATACCACACAGAAACCAAAAAAATTAAAGTAGTTTTGTCAATATACCAGAAAAAAAGGTTGGAAAATAACCTCTTGACATGCAATTTTGTCTCCTCAGCTGCTTGTATGTAGGTGAATAGTACTTGCTATTCATGACTTCCAAACAGGCCACTCATAGGGCAAAACACACTATTAACCTGTGTGGTGTACACTAACTAAGGGTGTTATGATATCTCAATATTTTACTAGCCTGCCTTGATTAGTTTGGCTATATGCAGGCCAGCCCAGTGTGTTAAGTGTAGATTAAAGAGTAAAGAACCTATTTCAATTTTGTAATAATGTACATGCAAAAATTACAAGCTTTTGATTGGCTGAAAATAAGAGCATTCTTACATAACACACAAATCGCATGAAGGGTGAGCACCCTTTCTAAATTTTTTCTGTTTTGACTCTTTGTGATGTATTTTTTCATGTACATTTTCAACAAGTAACAACATGATTTCCCTTGCAATTTGGTGTAATAAGCTCTTGTAAACGGCTTGTGCAATTTTACTGTCTTTGAAAAATTTACTTGTTCTTGCTAACACCAAATTTCACATGAAATCATGTTATTACCTATATTGATTCAACTTTTAAAAGCATCGATTTCTGATGGGTTAAGTTAGTTGTTCAGGGAAGAATTTTCAACCACTCATCATGCGGAAATTTGTCTTCAGCCAAATTTTACAATGAAAATATACTTTTTAGTATATTGGACATACTGTACAACCCAGTTACAAGTGTGAATCCCACTTTGGCTTCATAAATTATCACAGGATTCGTCTCATAATTATTTCAAGTTTATAACCATTCAAACACATACATAAACAATTAACCTTCTAATCCCTGAGTATCTAGCATCTAATTTCTCCCAACAGTATAACTGCTACATTGCACAGTAAGGTCATGAGAATAAAAGAAATGATCACTGACTTAATATTCTCTTGATTGATAAACAAATTCTCCTTGTCAGCACCTTGGGAATTGTATAGAAAACAGTATGGAGGATTTGCATACTGATGTTAGGGTGTAAAGGGTTAAAGCCAACTGGTATGCCTTCCTCATAGCCGACATTTCAAGCATAATTTATTGCGTAAAATTCAAATTTGAATGACTATGTACATAGATAATAGACTCCATTTGAGGTAAAAATATGTTCAGATATTTTTCTGTGGACATAACCTGTTCTGAAAAGCAATTTTTTGTTAGAATAAAGTTTGAAGAAAACTGTGAACTGATAAGGACAATTAATGTCTCTCCACAAGTATTAAGGAGGGTAATTTCAAGCCAGTTGGAAGCTATAAGTTAAAGTTATCCTTCCAATATATTTACCATTTGGATATCACACATAACTTGATGTTTTCAAATGACTTGCCCTTGAAGACTTTTCAAATTCTCTCCCAATTTGAGCTAACTTGGTAAAGGGAAGACTTTCATCACATCTCATGCAAGGTGAAATGAAACAGGAGAATATCATTCTTGGGATATCACCTCATATTCCTCAGTTTTAGTTGGGGTACATCCAGTCACATGATGTATTTGAACAAATCGCATATAAGCAAGAAACATTTAATGGAATATACTTGTGGTTCTTTGTCTGAGTAGAATACATGGAGATGATATAAGTTTGCCTCCATAGCAAATATTAAAGAAAAACTACAATTTTTTTTCTTTAGTTCTCCTGGTGATGTTATGGTCACCTCTCACCTAGCCAACAGAATAACACTCAGAAGACTGACACCTTCCATTCCTTTCTCAGATAGGGTAGAGGGAAAAAACAGGAGATGCTTGCTAGTTCAGTCATATTTGTAATGATAAAACTGGTTTGATCAGTTTTTGCAGATTTCAAAAATTTATTTGTGCCACATTCCCTGCAAAAATGGTCTGAGCATATGCACTTTGTACGATCTGTACAACTGAAAATTTGCTCTTGAGAAGAGTCCTGAGTGAAAGCTGGGTTATTATTCTAATCAGTTAAACCAATGCACCAATCAATTTGAAACTTTAACATCCCCACCCCCTGCTAGCTGGCAACCCACTGGCATTTGAGCATTTCCTGGGGAATGGGGAATTTAAACCTTGCTTAGCTGGAGTGGGTAATTTGAACCACACATACATTGTCCATCAAGTCTGGCAGAACATCTTTTGTTATATCAAGAGTTCCCTTTCGTGAGTGAATGGCTCTCAAGAATAGGTCAACAAGGTCTTATTTTGAAAGCTTGGTCAATGGGTAGCAAGTCATGATCGCTGATTTTGCCTTTAACCAAAAAAATGACCATCAAATCCAGGCTGCTAAAGTGTTGAATTTTGAAGCTTTGAAATGATCCACGCATAATTTGCATTTGTATGAATACTTTGTCTCCCCTACTTCTAAAACTACTGACAATAATAAATGTCATCATTTTCAAGTAATGACGGGAGGTCTGTTCATGTTGATCACTTAATAGTAATCACCAATTACAAACCTCACCTTGAATTGGAGGTCTAAGTTAACTTTTCCAAACTCAAAAGAAGACAATATTTAGGTTTCAAGAGCCCTCACTTTCAAAATTAAACTTGTCTTTGGTAATGAGTCATATTTACATGAAAATAAAAACCCTCATCAGCAAAACTTTTTTTTTTATTTATTTCCTTTTAGCACAAGTCGAAATGTTAAGTTAAGACCTTTTAACTCTTTGACCTCTTGGGGTGATAAGCATCTGATTTCTCTCCACAGTATCCCCCCTAACTCAAAAATCAAGGTCACAAGAATGAAGGAAATGATCACCAACAAAACAAGTCCTTGATGACTGAATAATTCTCCTTGTCAGAACCTTATGAAATGTATAGAGAACAGTATGGAGAATATGCATACTGATGTTTGGGTGTAAAGGGTAAAGGGAACAAAAAATTATAAGCAAGGGAGAGGTGGAGGAAAGGAAAATGTTCCCTTGCCCTCTCTTGATTTGTGGGCTAGGGAGAAGGCTTCAAGGTTTCACACTTACTGACTTTGTGCTTGTTTCACCCTTTAACTCCCAGATTAAATTTGTTACTCTCCTTACTGTCAACCATACAATTCTTATAATAATAGTTCAGAGAATTTAGTATTAGATCTACTAATTATCCCCAAATTGATATTTTTCTTTATTCTCATTGCTTATCTGGTTGATATTTTATTGGTATTGTAAGGAGAAATTCTGTCTTGGTCACTCATGGGAGTTAAAGGGTTAAATTAGCCTATCAACAGTAGTACACAGTCATAGTTTTCCTAGCAGTCAAACATGAATTAGCACTGTACTTCTAGTGCTCTTAACAACTTGGGGCTTATTCTTATTCTGTTTGCTAAAGGTTTAGTAAGGTGCTGATAAGGAAAACTTGCTCAAAAAACCTAAAGCTTTTTAATTTATTTGGTAATCATTTCCTTTACTCTCATAAAGGAGTGATTCAGGAGAGGAAAATATTGTAAGAAGATATAGGATGCTTGTCACTCTATGGGATTCAAGGCTTAAATCAAACCTCTCATATTACTGGTAACAGAATGATTAAAAAAATCACATTTGGCTCTATTACTTATAATTTCTGTTGCCACAATAGTTTGAAATTAAAAAAAAAGGAGCCCTTAGATAATGAAAATGCACAAGACACTGGTTAAGGAATAGATAAACCTGTGTAAGCACCTTGTATTCATTCCATCTCACATCCTGAGGAGCAAGAAGAATTCCTATTGAATGGCACAGAGCTGGATGACAGAGAATTCACACACACTTCTTCATGGGATGGTTCCATAAACATCATTTCTGTTGATGTTATTAATTTTGAGATATCCTCTAACCTCTCCCGAAAGGGAACGATTTCTAGGTTGAATCCAAGTGTTTCAGCCAACTGCAGTGCTTGAGTGGCATCACTCTGCGCTGCCTCCAGATCACCTAGCCTATAATTTAGGTCTGACTTCGCCCCTAAGAACTGTATTTTCTGTCCTTCGCTCATCTCATTCTCATATTTTTCTTGTACTGCTCGGAGGCAGGTTTGGGCATCTGCAATACATTTATCACTTGTAACTTGTTCCCGAGCTGCCCTTGTTCCACAATTTAGGTCCAGTGCGGCGAGTTTGAGTAGACCAAAGTGATGCTTTTTAATGTATAGGCTGCTTCCATCAAGTTCTATGCTTAGGTCTATGCATTGCTTCATGTAGTGCTTCGATTGTTCCACGAGCTTTTTGCGTGCAGAAAGATGGAGTGGAACAGAGTTAATATAGATGGTCAAATTGCTTGCCATTTCATAGAGTATCAATGCCTTTACGAAACGAGAGGTTTCATTTTGTGATTTGGGTGATACCTGTTCGGCGACAGCAATGGTGGAATCTGCTTTCCCGTGCTTATACTGCCGTCGATAAGTTCCAGTCAGGTAAATATGGGCCATAGTCACAAGATAGTCTTTCATTTCAACTCTAGCCTCAGAATTTTTCAACTTACTCAACACCTCCCGAACCATCGCTTCCGAGTTCTCCAAGTCATTTTGATAACTGACCACTACGCTCTTCTCGAGAAGGATTAAGAGTTCTAATTCTAAATCACCTTTGCTGTTCATCAGGATACTATCTGCGACGCTGGTAAAGTCCATAAAATTGCCACTGTCTCGTAAAGGATGAAGTCTGTTCAAGATGATGTGAAATCGCTTCATCGATTTTTCAAATGCTAAGTCTAGTTCCCCTGAAGCGGAAGGGAAAATTTGTGGACCGCAATGACCGTAATAGGAATCTTCATCGCTTTCGTCTGAAACATTTTTCGAGGAAAACTTTAAATCTCCTCTGTGTTTGCGCTGAGGGAACCCTAGCTTTGATTGTCTCCTTTTCGTTCGACGCCTAATTTCTCCTCCATCGTGACAAATAGCTGTCCTTCGAGTCGCGGTTCTACCTGATCGAGAAACTGTTGAGTGCTCAGGATACTGTAGACATCGGCAGAAGTTATTCACAACGTTTCCATCACCAATCACAAGGGTTTCAATCTTAGAATTGATAATATTGATGGTGTATTTTTCGTCTCCTAGTGCGCTTGGTAGACTGACTGCCATAACAACGTATGAAGTAATTGCTATTTTGATACAGTGATAACTTAGCTACTGGGACGGGGCTGGACAGTCATACACCTCCCTGCCCCTCTCTACCACTTGCGAAATGTTTCTCAGATCCAACATGCACCGGCATTTCCGGTACTTTCCCACATTTTAATTTAGTGAGGGAAAAGGGAATATTACGGTGGCCCATAGAGGACATGCCACACTTTTTTTATCGCGCGATAAAATCAAAATATCGCGCGATAAATAATAAATTATCGCGCGATAACTGATAAATTATTTCGCGATAAATGAAAAATTATTATCGCGCAATAAATGGCAAACATGTTAGGTCACTTAATCGGCTGTCACGCACGTTGTTTCCGTGGACGACAATGGTTGCCACAGTTGAGGAGGTATGTTTTGAGGTCAATAGTTCATTTTATTTACTTAAAAAGATCATTTAGCATTACTTTGCAATACCTCATAGCTCTGGTAATCAGCACAGTAAACCTTGATTTTGCGAAATCTTACGAGACACTTTCAGGGTGGCTGTCAGTGTCTGAAACCAAGAGTGGATTATCTAAACCGTCTCGTTTCGCTAATTACAGTAAACACAGCAGCCAACAAATGTTTTCGCTTCGCTGTCGCCATTGTGTCTCTATTGACCTCAAAACATACCTCCTCAACAGTGGCAACCATTGTCGTCCACGGAAACAACGTGCGTGACAGCCGATTACGTGACCTAGAATGTTTCCCATTTATCGCGCGTTAATTTTTCATTTATCGCGCGATATTTTGATTTTATCGCGCGATAAAAAAAATGTGGCATGTCCTCTGTGGGCCACCGTAGAAGATATCATTAAAATTACGCGGCAAAACCAGCGAAATAATTCGAAACAAATTACAAGGCATAAGACAAATTACCAGACAAATGAAAAATTACAAAACATTTTCTCTTTGTCCCACGCTCGTGACAAGACGAAAAAAATTCTTTCTCTTCCTTTATTTCTTTACCGAGCTCAAAACTTGACATGTTTAACAAATAAAAAAGAACTGTCAATTTGAGGACAGGGTAGAACAATAACAGGATAGACAAAGTTTCGAAGCCTTTGTTTAGCATCATATTACATAATTTTACCAAGGAAAGCAAAACCGACGCCTAAGCTCAAACCGGATCCCAAATAAACCTCAATCAACAATATGTTTCGATTCTTGCACTTTTCAGGACCTCATCCCCATTCCCACCCCACCCTGCCCCTCTCACTGCTAAGAGATGATGATTTCTTTTTCTGTGTCCCTTGTTTAATTGTTTGTTTGTTTGTTTTTAATAATGTAAAAACTTGATGATTCAGGTGGCGTGAGGAATGCGCTGAAAAGGACCACGTTCAACCAGTGTGCCTTGCGCGCCGTTGTTGTTGCTATCATGCGGGAGCTTGAAATTACTTCACACAGCATAGGTGCGAAACTTTATGAGCAAAGAGAGACGAAAAAGTGAAAGCAGCCCTGATTCTATCAATGTAACCAACAAAATTCAGCATGGTTTTAGTTGTGAAGGTCCAGTGAACCACTATGGATCTCCAATAACTGGCAGAGAAGGAACTTTTCGATTGCCTAGAAGAGTTGTGAGTTTTCACGGGTCTAGTATATTCTACCTTTATTTTGCAACCCTCGAGGGCGAATGGCTCGAAAAAAATATGTCTGTCTTTCCTAATTTACCCAGACGTGCCTATGCGGACAGAGGGAGGATGGACGGGGAGGAGGCTTGATCAAAGTTGATGTATGTGTGTGGTTTTTAGTGAAATTTCTGTGGACAACGTGGAGAAGATTGATAAACTTTTATCACGATTCGTCTTTATTTTTTTTAAATTCTGAATGTAGAGACAAATGTACACAGAGAAGAATAAACGAGAGATACCTGCATGTAGATAACTCACTTACATAAAAAAGTTTTGATTTCAAATAAAATGACACCTCAGGGGAAGGGAAAAAGCTTAGAATTTTCAAATCAAAGAAACAAGGGCATGTAAAATTCACCCCAAGTACAAAATACACAGGCAAGTGAAAAACACATGTCTTACGAATGCCTGGTGAAAGATTGTTAACACTTTAGTTCAATTATTTTCTTAATTGTTTGTTCATAGGAGCACCTCAGGGATACCTGCTTCTTACACTTCTCATGGAAACAAGTATTTTCAAAAAAGGTAATTAACAATGACAGGGATAATGTCACCTCAAATAGGACATTTAGTTAAAGTTGTTTGAAACCCAGTAGGTGTCAGTTTCAGAGGGCACTTGCTTTCAAAATTACCATCTCTTGGCAATGAATGGTATTTTATGGAAATAAATGTAGGGGAGAGGAGAGAGGGGAAGAGGAGAGAGGGGGAGAGAAGAAAAGGGAAACCCACCCACCCCCCACCCCTGATGTGAAGGCTGGAGTATGAAACAGTGACTTTCCTATCAAGGTCCTATCAAAACCAAAACTGAGTTTGGAGGAGTGTTTTCACATATTTCTATGGCTGTACAACATAAATCAGCACTCTTGGTGTTTCAAACTTTTTTTAATCTTTAATCTAAGGCTTAAAACTCATGTCAGGCAACTGGTAATAGAATGAGTGATAAATTAGATGTACATGTAGATGGGTTTTCTATCATTTCTGTAGCCTATTTAGACCACTCCTGATAATCAGAGTAAAAAAAGAAAATAGATAACAGCACACAGGAAGTTATAAATGGTTTGCAAAGGCACATGGTCAAGGACTGATCTTGTGTCACCAAAAGTGTTCAAATAAATCTTATTTCACTTGGTATTTTGAGGTGGTTCATTGTTGTGGCAAGCACACAGCCAGGAACCCTTTTTTTTCAAACATGCACATTCTCAATGCTTGAGAGCCAACTCTTACATACTGGTCAGCAGGTTACTAGTACTAAATGGCATGTCTGACTTGATAAGAACAAATCATTTTTCTTATCATTTTGTTAGTAGCGAGAGTATTTGCTTATACATGAATTTACACACATTCCTTTTTATGAGACAATAATACCAAATGCTTAATTAAACTGTTATGAATATTAATAAAACTTAATGTGTTGACATTGCACAGGGGGAACAAAACATATTTTGTGTTGTGAAAGTTATCCTTTTTTTACAAGTCATTCTTTTTTCATTTATAAAATGAATATATATTTTTATTTGCAATGGCAAATGAGAATAAAACTGTAGAGGTACATGAATATTTTGGAAACATAAGTGGCTACTTTTCAAGGCAAATTTCAAAGAAAAATTGATCAATAGATTCTGTAGAAAGCTTGGAACCCAAAGGAAACATTAACCAAGCACTGCAAGCTGCCTGCACCGCAGAAGTATGGACCTTACTGCTGGTGATTATCCCTTAGGAGTAATAATGGTAATAGGACAAGTGATTTACAAAATTGGATGACCACAAAGCAGGAGTCTGGTGAATGTCATTCACATGTATGATTACAGACCAAATTGGACGACACAAAGTCCTGTTACCAATTAATCATAACCATGTTTAATTTCCAAGAAATTATTTCCAATAGAGACATTGTCTAATCTAAATAAATCCTCAATTTTGGAAGCTCCCCACTTTGGTTGGGTAAATGGTTGTTACTATGGTTATTGTAAGCAATCATGTACCTGGTGAATTTAGCTGAGCAGGTATAGTGTGATTGGCTGCTTAAACTGTCTGATAACTGCTAATTGTCAGATTACACTGTCCAATCACACTTCTATAGAATAATTGATGAAAAATAAAGCAGCCACATGTAACGCACTAGTCACAGCTGAGGAAATTGTACTGGTTATGATACTATTACAGGAATAAACTGCTACTCCTCCCTGAATTGCATGCCAAACCATTACAACATTAAGCTTCAAGTGTTTGCCAGGTTTCCTTGACAGTTTCTTAAACTTTCACTCCCAAAATCTCAGTAGTAAATATTGTGATTGTTTGCCATACATTTCCTACAAAGTTTACTTTCGAGAATTTGATATGTGATGAAAGTGATGATCTTTATTTAATAGTTTTTGCTATTCTCATCTACCTATTGTTTAATTTTGTATTGATACTGTAAGGAGAAATAATTATGTCTTTGTCACTCATGGGAGTAAAAGCATTTAGAGTCATTATAAAATTTTTGCTTCTAAGTGGAGTGAAACACTTGAGCCTAATGACTGTGTAACTTCATAACAACCCAGCATGGGGACCTGGTCAACTTAAACCTAAGACCTCAAGACTGTCAGAGGTATACTTTGGAGGCAAAAATTTTTTTAACTTTCTTTGCAAGATTTTAAACGATTTGCTTCTGAACTGACTAATCCTCACTACAGCCATTTCAGTTTCAGTCACTATTTACAAATTCTTTGTGGTTTATATCATTAATGCTTCATATGGGTAGATTCTTATTGCAGATTTCTGTATCATGCTATTTTGATAGAGGTAAATATAAACTAAAAAAGGGTTGTAATTCTAACATTTTGGGAGAGGTCCTTCTAACTGTATGGTCAACAAGACCAAGATCAGATACACAGGTCTCGCCTTAGCACTATTTTCGTTACCATGCTGGCCCAGTGTTTCTCAGAACACAGTATTAGCCTGAAAATCTCAGTCACCTCAATACTATTTTCATCACCGGACTGGCCCAATTTTTAATAGAAAACAGTGACTTGTAACACTCTAGCAAGGCTAGTCGAACAAAACTCTGCAGATTTTGCCTTCTTAACTGCGGGTAAACTGAACTAAAAATTTCCTCAAGAAATTAAATGTAAGGAGAGAATATATATAACGGGGCAAATTTTGTCTTACATACCGCAACAGCTTACTTGCTAGGCTCTTGGACATTTCATAGTCAAGTGGCAAGCACTTTACACTGGAGACGCATCACATAATTCTAGCATTTACTCCATCTCACATCCCGAGGAGTAAGGAGAGTTCCTTTTAGATGACGCAGTACTGGATGACAATGTATCATGGCGGGCGTTTTCATGGGATGGTACAAAATCCATAGCTTCCTCCGATGTTATTTGTTTGCTCATATCTTCTTGTCTTTCCTTAATGGCATTTAATTCTAAACTGAATCCATGAGTTTCAGCTAGGGACAATGCTTGGCTTGCATACGTTTCTGCTGTCTGTAGATCGCCAAGCCTGTAATCCAGGTCTGACTTTGCCACCAGGAACTGTATCATTTGTGCCTCGCTCATCTCATTCTGATATTTTTCATGAACTGTTTCGAGGCAGTTCTTCGCATCTGCGATGCTTTTACTACTGATCGAATGTTCCCGGGCTGGTCTTGTGCGGCAATTCAGGTCCAGCAGTGCTAGTTTAAGCAGCCCAAAATGGTGTTTTTTAATGTAAATGCTGTCATCATCGAGTTCAATGCAGAGAGCTATGCACTGCTTCATGAGGTCCTTCGACTGTTCCACTAGCTCTCCGCGTGCAGGCTGATTAAGAGGGAGAGTAGAAATGTACTTAGTCAAATTACTTGCCATTTCGTAGAATATCAAGGCTTTCAAGTAGCGAGAGTTTACTTTTCTTGAATTCTGATCGGCAAAAGTTATTTTTGACTCTGCTTCTCCGTGCTTATTCAGTCGTCGGTAAAAGCCGGCAAGGTGAAGGTTTGCCATAGACGCCAGGAAGTAGGACATCTGAACTTTCACTTTCGATTTCAGGAGGGTGTCCAAAGCTTCTCGAACCATCAATTCTGCCTCCTCTAAGTTGTTCTGATAACTGACGACGACGCTTTTTTCAATGAGGATTAATATTTCAAGCTCGTCATCGCCTTTGCTAGCCAAAAGGACGCGATCTGCTAGGCTATTGAACTCCTTGAAATTCCCGCTGTCTCGTAAAGGATGCAGTTTGTTCAAAACAGAATGTAATTTCTTCATCGAGCTTTCAAATCCGCGATCGCATTCCCCCGAAACAGTTGGGGAAATTTCTGGTCCATAATAGGTATCTTCTTCGCTGTCGCTTGAAGTAGTTTTCAAAGAAAAGTTTGAATTAGCTCTATGTTTGCGTTGTGAGAATCTTATTTTGGTTTGCTTTCTCTTTTTTCCTCTCCATCCACCGTCGTGGTCTATTATTCTTTGGGTCGCTCTTCTTCCTGACCTAGAATCTGTTCGTTGTATAGGATAGTCAAGTCGCCGACGGCTTGTATTCACAGTGTTTCCATTACCGATTACCAAGGTTTCAATATGGCAATTGGAAATGTTGATGTCACGGATTGCATTTTCTTGAGAGCTTCGGTTATAGACCGCCATGATTATTTTCACCGAAGCGCGGGAAGATCTCAGGAATGACGTCACTGGCTTTTGTTTTAACAGATTTTGATTGGCGCGGTGGAACTGTGGCGCCTCCAGTAAACGAAAGTAAACACTACGAACTGGATTCAATCGAAGATGTTGACGGTATGTTTTTGGCGGGATTTTCGAGCTACATTGTACATGGCCTGTAGGATTTCATGATTTGCCAGTTGCCCCTAGAGGAGTATAGATAGTTGCATTTACTTAATCAAAATGGAACTACGTGCAGGTAACTGTGCATACTGACTCTCACTTGTAATTTCAGCTCATCGATCATTAAGAACCGGGATAATAATAACTCAGCGATGAAGGAAACGATATCAATTCAAGATGATTATTGCACAATTATTGCAAACCTTCACGGAAAAATTGACCTCGAGAAAAATATGTTCGGCTACGTTTAATTATATTCTTTGTTACAAAGTTGATTCTACGTCTCTTATCGCTACCCAAAATTTGCTGACACGTTGCGTGATAGTTCAGTTATGACACAACACTTGATTTCAAAAACGCTACTTTAATGCATGCCAATTTTTTTTGACTCTGTGAAAACTGAATATTGACGAAGATTAAAGTTTCAAGGTAACGTTCTTTTAAATCAGTTAAATAATATGCAGTTTCAATGCTCTTATGCAGATCTCAACTACCAAAGCAGAACACCTCAGGCTGGTTGCATCCATGGGCTGTCGAGGTATGCTTTTATTAATTAGGGTAATTTAAAATATTTAAAAGGAAACTAAAAACTAACGTGTGGAAATGAAAAAAAAAAATCCAATTTGAAGAGAAACAAACTTTGCATTATAAGCTGACGGTAAATTCAGAAGTAAGCTACATAGATGCGATCGAAGTTTCTCGTATTCACTCTTTTATCAAATTATGATGGCAATGGCATCTAAAGCTTTAAAGTTTTCATACTTGGCAATATGTGTGCAATATGAGATTACAAAGTTACCAAAAACAAATGGTTTGATGTACACCTCTGCCTAGTCAGTACCATAGGTATTACAAAAAGCATTTAGAAGTTTTTGTTGACTATTACTTAATGATTCAAACAACAAACACCGGCCATTAGGCCTGATGAGAGAATGATATGGAACTGAACGTAAAGTCTACTCATATACTACGATGCTCTTTGATCGGAATCTGTGGACGAACTACACGTGTAGGTGCTACTTGAAGATGCTTTATCCTGTAGCTTCGCTAATGTTATTTTGGGAGCACAGTTGCCTGAGTTGCGACAAATATGGTTCAGATTTTCTTGTGCAGGGACTGTTTCCAACTCAAATCCATATTGCTTTGCGATTTCCAGCGCTTGGGAACCATACTTCTTAGCTCCTGAGTAATTCCTCTCGAGAAAACAAAGTTCCGATCTTGTGATCGCGTTTTTTATTTTTGCAGCTACAGGAACTTCTTGAGAAGACGCGTACTTCTTTCAAATTCGCGAAGAAGCTTTTGAGCTCTTGCAGAATCCTTCTTTGGAATAATTTGACTATTATCCTCTTTGGATATGGGGATACTTGAAGGTAGCGCTAAACTTGCTAGATGGATTAGCGCGAAGCACTGTCGCGCCGAGTACAAATTACTCGAGAGATCTCTGAACCGGTCGATGGCCTGGCCAAGAGACGTTTGTGACTCTGTTCGGATACACTCTTTGAATTTCATTGTTGAAAATTCCATGTTGCAGCGCCCTTGTTCATAACTAAGAATAGCTTGAGCAAACTTCGGTATGGTGAGATTTACGCCTTTCAACATTACAGCACTTTCCTTTACTTTTTCCAGGCGTTTAAACGCCTTGCCTAGTTTCTTGCTTGGCTGGCGTCGAAACATGCTCGCCGAAGCAACATAGGCAAGCACTCTTAGAACTTCTCGTGACGCTCCACTGAATTCACTCTCTATAATCTTTAATACGCCTCCTACCAATTTTTTCGCTTTCTTTAGTTGTTTTTGATACGTCAACTGGACACTTTCTTCTATCAAGAGAAAACATTGAATCTCAGGATAGTCTCTGTATTTAAAACGTAATTCTTTCAAAGCGTTTTGAAATTCTTGCCATTTTCCATTGTCACGCAAAGGATACAACATATTTATTAATTCAGCTATTGTGTCGAACAACTTTTGACTTCGAGAGTCGACTCCGAGCGACGGTAACTGAGGAACTTCAGATGGGAGAGGAAATAGCAACATTTGAGTAACGTTTCCTCGCAGGTCGACGAGGAACATTCGATCGATGTTCGATACGTAAATTTGGTTTCCATCTCCGAGAACAACCATATCTAACTTGGCTTGATGCTTGGTTTCCTCGTTCTACAGTGGCACATACAACTGTAATAGCCTCCATTTTTCGTCCTCTTGTATGTCTGTTGATCGTATCGTTGTTACCAATACTTACGAATCGTGCACTGCAAATGTTTATGTCGGCGTTCTTGCACGCTATCGGAGCGTTCATCGTCTCATGCAAGGTCTCACCTCGGCTTGCTCTTTCATTCCTTTCAATTTTTTCCAATTTTTTGCCATTGACTGAGTTATCTTGAGCTTGAATGGCGTTTTCGTTTTCTGCGTTATTGATGCTCTCAATCTGGTGATGCTGTACATTTACCATACCACTTGCGTTTCCCCATCTTGAACGAACAAAGCGCCACAGTGAACTGAAAACATTTCCCATGGTTGGTAGAGAGTGTATAGCGATACCTACTGATTCAAGCGTATTTCACTTCAGAAATGAGACTAATGTAGAGAGAAAAGAGAGTAGATTTCAACACTCCAACATCAATATACAGAGATTGGTCGTCTGATTATTTATAGTCGAAGCGAGGATCGAGACTAGAGTCTACCGAGCGGCCTTCGAACTGAAGACGTCTAACCAATCCGTATAATGTTATTGTTATGGAGTATTGGTCATGACCAATGATTGTGCCTCTACACCCTAGTTACAATGAAAAGAGACAATAGCACTTCATACATATATACATGAGATCACCAGGTCTAGGAAGTGGTGATTGTGAATAAGGGCAAATCAGTTCCCTTCGTTTTGAAGATTAATTCTTGGATTTATTTGATTATTTACAATGGCCGCAAAAGATCAAAGTTTTTTTCACAGCATAAACTAATAATTGAGTTTACCTCGCTGTTATTTACGTATACACGTATATTTCTCTTATAAAGATAATTCCACAGAAAACAAGTTGAATTCTGTATGATACTAATATTGTAAGGCGTAAAATATCATTTACAAAGGCTACAAAATGGTAAATTTGTACCTCGACACGAGGAGTGGATTGAATTGGTCTGGTTGGTTTTTGAGTTTTAAATATACGTGTCTTGTAAATATATATATGATTACAAAAAAAAAACTTTTGAATTCTGTACTTCATCAATACCGTTAGTTATGAAATCTTATTTAACTACAAAGCCAAGAAATAATAACGATTTTTAATTCAACATAAGCTAATAGTTGAATCAACCTTGTCGTTTTGACGAAATAACATGTATGTTACAATAATTCCTTCATTCTCTTTTCTGTATTTTGTCAATATCGATTTAATGAATGTTATTTACAGAGGCCCTCAAAATGTTGAATATTTTTTACTCAGCCAATCAAACGATTGAGGTGGCCATTTTATCTTTGTCATATAATTCTACTTAAAGGCAATTGAATTCTGACTTATAACAATATTTTTAAAACACTATTTACAAAGGCCACAAAAGGATGGAGTTTTGATCCAACTGATATGGCCCATTCATTTATATATTGAGAAAAAGTCAAGAACTTTGAAATCAATTTTGGAAAGTGATGACAATGATTGGAAAGCTTTCTGCATATTGTTCTGAAACCCAGTAATTACACCATTTAATCCTAACACCAAGATAACTTTGCTCAAATATTGCAGATGTTATTATTTTTTTTTCATTCTTTTCCATAAGAAAAAATCGAGAGATTCACTGAGAAAAGGTGAAATCATCAGAGTTGTAGGAGAGTGTAAGATTCGAAGTTTGGCGAAGGGACCTGACATTATTTGTCGCCTGGAGAAGGGGAAAGGAGGGGAGGGTGACAAATTTCGGTTCTGTTACGATAAAATTTACTTCATACCCCCTATGAGGCTCTGTAGTATCATCATCCCCCCCCCCACCCCGATAGAAACTAAAAATCCCTCTAACCTCTCCCCCCCCCTTTCAACCCTTTAGGTGATAAAGAATGACTGATCCCTATTTGTAAATACATGCATGTTCAAGTTGCCATAATCCTAATCGTACTTCGTATCAATGATCATAAAAGGCTAGGTGTTATAAAGGCTAGTCAGATCGAGATGCGCTCTGATCCGAATCCGTCGTGGTGGTAGAATTGCACGCGTACCTGCTAGAAATATTTTTAACGTGTAGCTTAGCTTGTGGTACTAAGAAGGCACTGCGGTGACATCGATCGATCTGATCTTTGGCAGGTTTAATTTCCAAATCAAATCGATATTGCTCTGCCAGATTGAGGGCTTGACGTGCATGTTCCTCGGCAATGGAGTAATTCTCCTCGAGAAAGCAAAGGCTTGACCTTGTCATGAAGTACTTTATTTTCGCTCCCGTAGGGGTATCTTCAACGCGGGTGCGATCGAACTCCTCAAGGTACCGTTTTGTCTTTTTCACTGACGGCTTTTTCGAAGCACTTGGATTTGGAATAGATAAATGCGCCAGAAAGATTAGTGCAAAGCGCTCCTTGGCGATGTATATACGATTCTCAACAGAAAGTTCTCTACACCTGTCCATACAGAGATGGTAATACTTGGTTGCCTCTGCTTTGGCACTCCTTGGATTATATACCATGGGGGCGAATTCAGACCAGAGGCGCCCTTGTTCGTAATTAAGCAGAGCGAGAGCAAATTTGGGAATCGTTGCATCGATTCCTCTCAAGTTTTCGCCACTTTGTTGTGCTCTTTCGAGGCAATCAAACGCGCTTCCTAGCTCATTCCTCTCCTCCTCCCCTCCGCGCCGAAAAGTGCTTGCTAAAGCAATATTTGCAAGCAAAATCAAAACATCACGTGACGTTCCATCGACTTCATTGTTTACAATACGTAAAGTATTTTCCGCCATTTTTCTTCCTTCCTGTAATCTTTTTTGGTAAGTTAGCCTCACAGATCTTTCGAGCGCGAGAAAACATTTAATTACTGGCTGACCTTCATATTCTGACTTGAATAGACTCCAAGCCTGATCGAATTCTTTCCATTTCCCTCTATCCCGAAGTGGATACAGTTCATCAACTATTTGTTTCATTTGTTCAAACACTTTTGTAAGTTGGGGTTCAACTCCCGGCGATGGCAACCGACATGGCGTCGAATATACCTGCCTATCCATACTTGTTTCAGCACTGGTTTCATCAGAGCCCATTGCGCCCTCAAATTTACTATAACCCAGACGGAAGTCGCAATTGGGCACTGGAACGCTGCTAGACGACACTTTAATTTCGTTGCTTTCCCCAACAATCGCATTGTTTGCGAGTACTGAGATGTTGTACGTAACTGAAGTTGCTGGCGAAATCTGGGTATGCACGTCCACCGGTGCTGTTGTTCGGTTTTCCATATCCACTGGGGGAGCATCGACCTCTGATATACTCCCCATATGTTTTCCTGATATCACGACGTCGATGTTGTTGTCATCACCGACAATGACGTTATCGCAAAATTGTACTTGTATGTTGTAAGTTGTTGCGCCGTTAACAGACTCGCTCCTAGGTTTTCCTTTTACAACTTGTTTTCGGTTTTGATCTGCGCTGTTGATCTCTGAATCGCTGAAACAAACGCTACCTTGAGTACGGGTGCAGTTCTCACCTTCATTTTGTTGCGTATCGACGTTTTCGTCGTTGCTTAAAGCGTTTACTTTTGGCGCTAACTCGCTAGTCCGACTTCGGACAGAGCTTGTCAGGAAACTGAAAGCAAATCCCATTAGAGCGGTGAATACAAAATTCTGCTTCGTAAAACACGATTAGCCTTTCACTTCGAGTACGACAGAGAAAACCATCTCTGTCACTGTATTTATTATTGTTTGTCTTGCTCGAAGAACTTGTCGCAGTGTCTTTCGGGATATCTCTTCGCACTAACCAATCAAAGTGCGTTTTTCAGTTGCTTTATAAAAAATATCAACTCCCAATTTGCCATCAACAAGTGCGTGACTGACACTAGATTATTTTCCGGTAGCCACGTGCGCGGGTTCTCTGAAGTTGCGTAATCCCTCAAGTGGACATTTAAACTGCATGCTCAATGAGCCATGATACCGGAAAAACTGCTTCCTGTTTCTCTTGTCTCTAAGGATAACAATGGCGACCTGAATGGAAGTTGTTTGGATTTCAGTTTATGAGCTGAGCTCATGAGAGGAATTTTTGAGAACAAAAGGTCCAGATGTGTTCTGATGTCTCGAACCTTCAAGGAAAGTTATTTGGAGTAGAGAACAAATCGCAATTTTGATCTAATTTCTTCGTTTATAAGTGCAGGAGATTACTACTTGTTATGACTTGCTTTGGGAATTATTGACAAACAGGGTTCGAATTATCGAAGGTGAATTAAAATTGCAGTGAAAGTCGCACGAAAAATCCAGTGATTTTCTTTGAGGAAGTATTGGTTCGAGTTCTGGGCGGCGACTGTATGCCTTCTATCCCTGATCGGTGTTGTTCGAAACAATTTTCTTACAAATTAGCAATCTTTTGACTTTAAAGGATATCGGAGACGTCTACGGTAGTTATTAAGAGCGCTTGTCTGTAAAAATAAAAAAAATTCTAAATTTCGCGGCAAGGGTGAAAAATTCGATTTCTTTCTTATTTTAATATTAGATAGGCTAGATTATAACTAAAATCACTGGATACTTTTTCTGGCAAAGTATCTTTTTATTTCAGAGAAAAATACGAATAACAAAATTCCGTTAAAATCGTCATTTTTAGCAGCAAATTATTGCACGAGTTTGAGGGCTTCGCGTTCTTTTTCAACCTCATAAGACCTCACAAAACGATTTTTGTAAACACTGCGTTCCTCTTTGCGTCTAAAATAATTTGAATTCGTAAGCATACATTTCTGTTCAGTAAAAGTACTTTGTGAGTAAAGTTAATTTTCAGCGTGTGCTAAACCTTCAAATGGATTAAGCTTTTGGTGGTAGAATTGCGAAAAGATGTTCTCAATATAACTGTAAAAATTTGTCTGGGCAAATGATTGAGAGCGATAAAAGAGCTTTTCAAAGTCCGTTAAAATGCAGTTATGTGACCTTTCGCGGTCACTGATTTTAGCATTGCTGGCAAAGCTTGGCAAATTGACTATTTTCATTATTTTTTTTATTAAAGGAAAGGAAAGCCTTCTGTGGATGTAAAGATATTTCGTTGCTCTTTGTTAGTGAGGGAAGCTAATTGGAATGAGTCTAATGAAAGGTAACCTCTGTGTCATTATTTCCATAAAATGCAATAAACTGCAGACTAGAAATTCACAAAATCATTTCTCTATTGAAAGGAACGTGTGTCGAAGTCTTGTCTGGATTTTGCTCGAGTGAAGTATTCATGAGTTGGTCATATCAATTGCATATTTTGGTAATTCCTTCATGTTTTCATATGTCCACTTTATACAACTGATCTTAAAGTAAAGAAGTTCATCTATAAAAGCTTTTAGAAACGAAGTGACTCTTAAGCTTAGTTAATTCTCAGAATTAATGCGTTTATTTACACTGTGAGGTTTTGAAGCCTTATTTCGCTAATATTCGGTTTTTCCAAACGCGAATTAGTTCTGTAATAATTAACAACAAAAACTAACCGACACATTTATATTTGGTTGATATTACATCTACTACAAGCACATTATGATAATAATAACTTACATACAAGAGACTTTCTCTGATCCAGGACTTCCGGTATCTGATTTCCAATTATGGAAGTCAGAAAGTAGTTTCTTAAAATCCCGGGGATTTTGGTACCTAAAGTTCCAAAACATGAATGGTAGAAAAGCTTCAAGATTCTCAATGATTGAAGCGACTTAGTTATGGCAATGAAGGAATAATGAAGTGCAAGAAATGTGTTATTTCTCGTTTGTTCGTATACTAATGAGATTTTGTGCATTTGGGTCAAATAAGTGGCTCAGCTGAATAACAATTTCTTCTTTCTCTTCGAAAACTTGAAGGACAAGTTTTAAGGTCAAAGTGATGTGATATCAAATATACCTAATTTCCGTGCAACGTACAGATCTGAGTTGTCCAGTACGGTTCTGTTAGATACTTGCGAGTCCTAGCACGAAAGGAAGTTGATCATACTTACTCGCGATTTCTCCAGGCACTCCAAAACTTCCATCACTACTGTATCGGTATATGACCTCTTCTCATTGTCTTTCTTTTCTACTATGATGAAAAAGTACAGCTCTATGTTGCTTTGGCTTGCCATCAGTTCACTATCCGCGACGTCAATGCATGGTACAGTCCATAAAACTGCCTCTGTCTATTTCGTATGCAAATTATCAAAAGCATATTTCACACTACATGTGGTTTGCTCCAAATAGGGTGAAATCCGTTCCTCGATTGCTGTAACTGGTGATCTCGTTTTCCAGAAACGGTATTTTCATCATTGTCTCTTGAAAGATTGTTCAGAGTCGTGTTGACATGCATTCCCTTCGTAAACGGCGACTCGCCGTTTTCACAGATTGTGAAAATTCTTGAGAAGGTGTCGAATTTCCAGAACGGTAGTCATTCTCGGTGTTGTTATCACCAATAACCAGGACTTCAAGTTTGGAATTGTCAAAACTGATTGAATATTTACCGATTTGTGGCGGTGAGTTAGGTCGGAAACCCGACACCATTTTCCTGCGAACGATTGTTTATAGGAGCGCCTCAGGGATACCTGCTTCTTACACTGTTTAAGGAAACAAGTATTTTCAATAAAGGTAATTAACAATTGCAGGGATATTGTCACCTTAAATAGGACATTTAGGTAGAGTTTTTTGAAACCCAGTGGGTCTCAGTTCTAGAGTGCATTTGCTTTCAAAATAACCATCTCTTTTGGCAAAGAGGGTTATGGAATTAAGTGGCCTCAGTTAATTGGGGATTTTTTATTTCACAGTAGGCTGGGAGGGATTTGCTTGTGCTATATAAGGGCAAATGATACCAAAAAGCAATTTAAAAACAACGAAGGGAAGGGGGAAAAGGTGGAAAGGAGAAAAGGGAAACCTTCCCACCCCTGATGCGAAGGTTAGGGTATAAAACAGTGACTTTCCTATCAAGGTCCTATCAAAGCTAAAACTGAATTTGGAGGAGTGTTTTCTCGTGTCTCTATGGCTATAAAACATGGATCAGCTCTACTGTTGTTTCAAACATTTTTTAATCTCTAATCTGAGGCTTAAAACTCATGTTAGGCAACTGGTAATAGAATGAGTGATAAATTAGATGTACATGTAGATGAGTTTTCTATCATTTCTGTAGCCTATTTAGACCACTCCTGATAATCAGAGTAAAAAAAGAAAATATGTAAAAGCAAACAAGAAGTTGTAAATGGTTTGCAAAGGCACATGGTCAAGGTTTGATCTTGTGTCACTAAAAGTGTTCAAATACATCTTATTTCACCTAGTATTTAGAGGTTATAGAGGTCAGATTGTCATGGCAAGCACACAACTAGGAATTTTTTTTTTTTTTTTTTTTTAATCAAACATGCACATTCTCAATACCTGAGAGCCAACTCTTACATACTGGTCAGCTGGCTACTGGTACTCAATGGCATGCCTGACTTGATTAAAAAAAATCTTTTTTTTTTTTTTTTCATTTCTTTAAGGCTATAGTATTTGCTCATACACGAATTGAACACATTCTTTTTTATGAAAAAATAAAACCAAATGCTTAGTTAAGGTCAAATGAATGCTAATAAAACTTAATGTTGACTTTGCACAGGGCGAACAAAATACATTTTGTGTTGTGAAAGTTATCCCTTTCTTCACAAGCCATTCTTTTTTCCATTCATAAAATAAATATATTTTTTATTCGCAATTGCAAATGAGAATTAAAGCTGTAGAGGAACGTGAATATTTGAAAACATACATGGCTACTTTTTAAGGCAAATTTCAAAGGAAAATTATTGAATAGATTTCTGCAGAAAGCCTAGAACCCAAAGGAAAACATTAACCAAGCACTGCGAGCTACCTGCACTGCAGAAGCTTGACCCTTGCTGCTGATGATTATCCCTCAGGATTAATAGTGGTAATAGGACAAGTAATTTCCAAAATTGGATGACTACAAAGCAGGAGTCAGGTGAATGTACCTTGGGTATGATTAAAGACCAAATTGGACAGCACAAAGTCCTGTTACCAATTAATCATAACTATGATTAATTTCAAAGAAAATATTTTCAATAGAGACATTGTGTAAGCTAAAAAAATCCTCGATTTTGGAAGCTCCCCACTTTGGTTGAGTAAATAGTTGTTGCTATGGTTATTGAAAACAATTATGTGATTAGTGAATTTAACTGAGCAGATATAGTATGATTGGCTGCTTTAACTGTCCGATAGCAGCCAACTGTCGGATTACACTGTCCAATCACACTTCTATAAAATAATTGGTGAAAAATAAAGCAGCTAATGTACCGATCGCAGCTGAGGAAATGGTACTGGTTATGATGTTATTAGAGGAGAAAACTGCCACTCCTCCCTGAATTGCATGCCAAACCATTATAATATTAGGCTTCAAATATTTGTCAGGCTTAACAGTTTCTTAAACTTTCATTCCCAACATCTTTGTAATAAATATCATAATTGTTCACATTTCGTACAAAGTTTGTTTTGAGAATATGATGTGTGATAAAAGTGATGATCTTTATGTAATAGTTTTTGCTATTCTAATTTGCTTGTTGTTTAATATTGTACTGATGCTATAAGGAGAAATTATGTCTTTGTCACTCATGGGAGTGAAAGGGTTTAAACTCATTATACCATTTATAATTCTCAGTGGAGTGAAACACTGGAGCCGAATGATTGTTAACTTCAGAGGAACGCAGCATGGGGACCTGGTCAACTTAAACCTAACACCTTGAGACTGTAAGAGGTATACCTTGAAGGCAAGAAAAAATTTTAAATTGTCTTTGCAAGATTTCAAATGATTTGCTCCTGAACTGACGTCACAGAAAAAAATTATTTCGAAACAAATATGTTAAAGTACATTTATTTATTAAATTCTTTATTACAAAGCTGATTCTACATCTCTTATCGCTTCCCAAAATTTGCTGACACTTGCATGAAAGTTTAGATATGACAGCATTTTATTTAAAAAATGCTGCTTTCATGTATACAAAAGTAATAACGATAGAGTTTCCTTTAATTTAATGTGGGAACTGAATACTGACGAAGATTATAGTTACATGCTAACATTTTGATGTCAGCAGTGAAATGATATGCAGTTTCAATGCTTCTATGCAGAATTTAACCAACACAATCTAATACCTTAGGCTGTTGACACTTAAGCTCCCATAGGTTATTAACATTTAACTTCTCTCTATAGCATCCACACATTATCTAGCCAACATGTCATGAGAATACTCAAACTTATCAGGTAGGAGTTAGTAGTCTTGATCTAACACCAAACACTCGTGACTTATTTACAGGGAAATGTGTAGCAGCTAGAGGGGAGAATTGACAATCAGATCTTGGGAGTTAACCATGAGGTTGTTAAGGTATGACTTACTAAGTTATTGATGTAATTGAGACCATTTGCAAGAAAAGGAAAGAGAAAACCAATTAGTGGAAATGGAAAAAAAAGCCTTCTCCAAGTTGGAAAGAAACAAGTTTTGCATTATAAGTTCAAACCACATTCAGCAGTAAGCTACATACATGCAAATGTGTCAAAGGTAGGGCTAAACTTGCCAGATAGATTAGCGCAAAGCACTGTCTTGCCGAATACAAATTTTCACTCGATAGATCTCTGAACTGCTCTAAGGAAAGGCCAAGGAACCTTTGTGCCGCTGTTCGGATACAGTCTTTGGATTTCATTTGGGCAAATTCTATGTTACAGTAGGTGAGAATAGCTAGAGCAAACTTAGGTATGGTTAAATTCACGTCTTTCAGCTTCACTGTACTTTCCTTTGCTTTCTCCAAGCATTTAAACGCTTTGCCTAGTTTCCTCTTGGGCTGGCGTCGAAATATGTTTGTCGAAGCATTTGCAAGAACTCTTAAAACATTTCGCAACGCTTCATTGAGATCACTATTGTTTATGATGTTTACAGCAGTTTTTGCCAACTTTTTCGATTTTTCTAATTGTTTTTGTTAAGTTAACCGCACACCATCTTCTATCAAGAGAAAACATTGACTCTCAGAATAGAGTTTGTATTTGAAACTTAACCTCCCCAAAGCGTATTCAAATTCTTGCCATTTCCCTCTGTCGCGTAGAGGTTTGTCCTGAGTTTGAGGATGACACTTGACTTTGATAAAGATATTTCATTGCACTCTGGCAATTTGAGACGAGTCCAATGAAAGGTAAACTCTGTGTCGTTATCGCCATAAAATGCAAGTAACTACTGTTAGGTGGACTTGAAATTCACAAATCCTTTCTCCGTTGATAGGAACGTGTGTCGAAGTCTTGTCTGGATGTTGCTTGAGTGAAGTATTCCTGAGCTGGTCATATCAATCGCATATTTTGGTAATTCCTCCATGTTTTCATTTATCCACTTTACACGATTGATATTACAGATTAGAAGCTCTTCCACAAAAGCTTTAAGAAACGAAATGACTCTGAAGTTTACGTAATTCTCAGATTTAATGTGTTCAGGTACATTGTAAAATTTTGAAGCCTTATTTCTCTAATATTTTTCCACAGACTAACAAAATTGCATTTTGTGGTCTTTTAAAAAATCTACAAGTGCTTATTTATTCCAAATTGCACGAGAAAATCGTGTGATTACGTATTCATAATATACATGAAAAAATACGAGATAGCTTATCATAATTATGCAGAAGCAAAGCGCTCGCATCAAGTGCAGAAATAATTTATTCAAACCCTGCAAGTGACATTGTGCGTTCGGTCAAAACAACCGCGAACGGTCAAAATAACAATATACAACCGGCTCCAAAGCTTCCATCACTATTGGATCGGTATATGACATCTTCTCATTGCAAACTATGTCTTTCTTTTCGACTGGGATGAAAAAGTACAGCTCTGTATTGCTCTTGCTTGCCATTACCACACTATCCGCAGGGACAATGCAGGGTGAAGTTCTCAAAACTGCCACTGTCTAACTCGTACGCAAACTATTAAAAACATCTTATGCACCACTTCTAGTTTGCTCCAAATTGGGTGAAATCCTTTCCTCGATTGCTGTAACTGGTTATCCCGTTTCCCAGAAACGATATCTTCTTTATTGTCTCTTGAAAGATTGTTCAAAGTCGTGTTGACCCGCTTTCCCTTCGTAACCGACGACTTGCCGTCATCACGGATTGGTGAGGATTCTTGAGAAGGTGTCGAATTTCCAGAACAGTTTTCATTCACGATGTTGTGATCACCAATTACCAGGGTTTCAAATTTGGAATTGTCAAAACGGATTGAATATTTACCGATTTGTGTTGGTGAGTTAGGTCGGAAACCCGCCGCCATTTTTCTGCGAACGATTGACGTCACAGGGTTATTTTTGGATTTACCTTAATTGCACAGGGGAACTGGTAACAAAAGTGATCAACGGTAGAGTTATTTGAATCGAAAGTGAAAAAGGGAAAAATTTTTATAATGGTATTGGTGATAATTTTCTGCATTTGGCCCATTTGACCCATTGTTTTACACACTTTTAATAAGACTGGCGAATCGCTTACAACTCAATCGCTTTCATTGAGCTGAAAATTGTCTGCAAGTAAGTAATTTTGCATCCTTGTTCTGTGATTGTGATTCGATCAAACCGTCAGGTTAATTATGTTGGCACACTGTTACTTTTAAAAGACGTTTACTGTAAAACTTTAAAGAAGAACCAAATTTAAGGCAAACATCGTGGATTAAATTACATTTCATGAGAGCGTTCACATCCAGTCTTTCTTGGACACCAATATTTGATCCTTTAAAACGAACTTATGATATTATTAGGTCTTTAGTTTGAAGATTTTGCTTCCGTTTTGAGGTTAAAATCACTTTAATTTCCTTTCATGCAGGGGAGGAGGAGGGGGTACTTTGGTCAATTTTGCCTGGTTATGATGCAGCTGGCTTCTCAGAACACCTACCCAATTTTAGTCTATTCTTTGGTTAATTATAGACCTTATCTTAGTCACTTTTGGGCAAATTTAATTTTCGTGATCCGAATTCAGTCAATTTTTTGTTTATGCATCTAGCCACCTTATAAAGCTTTTTCTTAATATAGGCCATTTTTAAACTCCTACTTACCAGAATTTTCTTACTTCAAAAATCCCGAAATTGTGTGACCTCATTTTAAAAACTTTATTTAAAAAGCGACCCAAATGTAATCAATCCAGTCGTGAAAGGTCGACCCCATTCCCAATAGCCCATTACCAGGAATTAAACCTCCTCCTTCGGCCTCTCACCCGTGCACTTTTTTGCACAGTCTCCCTCTTTAACTGAGAGGAGCTTGCTTAAACAAAGTTCCCTGCGGAAGACCACTGGAAAATGTCCATGGAACATTAGTTACCTTGGTTTGAAAATTGATTCTTGGGATTTTCTGATTATGTACAGAAGCCACAAAATATTTAAGACTTTTATTTAACATCAGGTAATGATTAAATTGGCCCCGCTGTTTACACTTATAAACATATATTTCTCTCGTAAAGAAAATTCCACAAACGTCCAGTTGGATTCTATGAAATATCAATATTGTAAGTTATGGAATATTTACAAAGGCCACAAATTTGTAAATTTTTGCTTCAGCGTGAGCTAAGGGACTGAGGTCGCCTTGTTGGTTGCGAGGTATAAACATATATGAGTCGTATTGATTACACTTAACCATCAATATCTGAGTTCTCTTTTTCATCAATTTTGTGAGTAATAAAATCTTATTTTCAAAGCCAACAAAGAGGGAAGATTTTTAATTTAGCATAAGCTAATGACTGGATCAGCCTTATAGTTTTGACTGAAAAATCAAAAAATTAATAAATTCTGTATATTGTCAACAATGCGTCAATGAAATATTGACAAAGGCCTCAAAATGTAAAAAGTGTTGATTCAACATAATCTAATGATTGAATCGGCCTATTTATGTTTGTCCTATAAACACGAATGCCTCTTTTAAAAATAATTCCACTAAAAAAATTGAATTCTGTATTTCTCCAAAATTTTGCATTAAAACACCATTTACAAAGGCCACAAATAAAATATTCTTGATCCATCACACGTTAATGACTAAAATAGCCTATTTATTTTTTTGTTTAGTAAGAAAACTCAGAAGGAAAATTCAAAAACAATTTTGCATAGTAATTAGATAACGTTCAGCAAATTGGTCTGAAAACTAGTTAATTCTTTATAATTACGATATTAATCTTAAGGAATCATTCATTAATTATCGCCGGTGAAGGTGAGGGGTGGGGTGGTCGGAGGATTTTGGGAGGGGCACATGGTTTTCAGGGTGGGAATGGAGGGGTGATCTGTCGTCGCCAACAGAGTATAAATGGGAATTACAGAAAACTGACTGCCAGTAAGGAAGGGTCACAAGAATACGTCAGACCCTCAGGGGGGACTGAGTAAATTTTTACTGTGACACAATCGAAATCCTCCTAGATTTCCTTGGCTGGCGGAAATCAATCTCATTATTATCGTCGATCAGGAAAATACTGGAATCGCGAATATGTATTTGTACATTTGAACCACTGAAACAAACGCTGCCTTGAGTACGGATGCAGTTCTTGCTTTCATTTTGTTGCGTATTGACGTTTTCGTCGTTGCCTATAGCGTTTACGTTTGGCACTAACTTGCTAGTCCGACTTTGGACGCAGCTTGTCAGGAAACTGAAAGCACATTCCATTAGAGTGATGAATACAAAATTCTGCTTCGTAAAACACGACTAACTTTTCAGTTCGAGTACGAGAGAGAAAACCATCTCGGTCACTGTGTTTATTATTGTTTGTCTTGTTCGAAGGACTTGTCGCATATCTTTTCGCTCTAAGCAACCAAAGTGCGTTTTTCAATTGCTTTATGAAGAATATCAACTCCTGATTTGCCATCGAACAGTGTATGACTGACACTTGATTATTTTCTGGTAGCCACGTGCGCGGGTTCTGTGAAGTTGCTCAATCGCACAAGTGGACCTTAAAACTACATGTTTCCCTTAAGGAAGCATTGGTTCGAGTTCTGGGGAGTCGACTGTATAATTTCTATACCTGATCGTTGTTGTTCGAAACAATTTTCTTGCAAATTAACAATCTGTTCACTTCCAAGGATATTAGAGACGTCTACGATAGTTATTGATTAAAGGTGTTGCGACCACTAGGTACCAGGTATGTCGGGAACTTCAGGTGTTTGACTTTGATCGGTCTGGGGAAACTGCTTCGCTTGCAGGTTTGATAAAGGAAAGTGAAAACGGTGAAACATGTGCACGTTAATTTTATTTCTTTTTCTCTGTCTTAATGTGTTTGACTTTTTGGGCTTCTAATGAAATGGCAAGTAATGAAATTTAACATTTTAGAGCTCTTTTAATGAACTACTGAAACCTAATTTTCGTAAGTGGAGACGCAAGGAACATTCAACAGGTAAACCATCATTTTGAAGCGAACGCAAATGATCGCAAACAAATCACTTCTTTAGTTAACAAATATACCGTCTCCTCCCAAAAAATTATAATTCTACCTAAATTTTTCAGAAGCAGGAGACAACTTGCTTTCAGTCTCACAAGGGAGTAAATGCGAGATAAAACCTACACACTGAAACACAAATTTATACAGCCTTTCCCGATGATCGATTTACACAAATTCGTCTATTAAGCGAGCCGACCACCCTAAAACTGTGAATTAAAGTTGACACAAAATCAAACTGACTATGAGAGTGAAAATACTCTATTCAGACTGGAACAACAACGTTTGTCTTTGTAAAAAAAAAATTATTGTGTAACGTATAGTCGACAACCTACATTTTTTGCGCATTTCAATTTTGCTGCAGGTGTCATTTTAGCGTAATCGGTTGGATTTTCTCAACTTTCTCAGCCATCAACTAAATATTGTGTGGCGTCACGTCTGAAATTTAGACCCTACTTTCAGTCAGCCTCAATCTCCTGTCAAACGAAAGTTTTAAATTGAATCAGTTCTTGAAAATATAATTCACTTCAGGCGAGCTAACTTTTGTTCACAACTTTTACAATTCTTTGTAGGTTTGCTTTTATAGTTTTCCATCTTCTTGCTATCTTGAAAGCACATGGATTGAAGTGTCGAAATGTACTTTTGCATCCGCCAATTTATCACGGGCTGCCACATTAAAGAGGGGAGTTGAACTCAGTTTAATTTCAGAAAAAGTTATCCTAGTCTCCCTTAAGACAATCCATTTATCATAACTTATCTAGTGCTTCCTAATAAAGATCATGGCTTATGTAGACTTGAAATTGACAAAATCCTTTCTCCATGAAAAGGAACATGTGTCGAAGTCTTGTCTTGATGTTGCTTAAGTGAAGTATTCCTGAGCTGGCCATATCAATTTAATATCAATTGATACGAATGTTTAGAAGT